GTGGGGATCACGGTCGTCGTCCTGGATGTGGAGACTACTGGCGTCGATCGGCGATCCCTGGATCTAGGCACTGCGCTGCGGCTGCCCAGGATCAAATTCTGCTGCCTTGCGAACCTGTGAGACGCGGATCTGGCCGTGACGCCGCCGCCGCCGCCGCCGCTGCTGCTGGTGAGCGCCGAATGCATGGCGACCGCCGCCGCCATGGCGAAGAACACTTTGCCCTGGCGCGCTCCTTGCCCTAAAATCCCAACGGTCGGACGTTCGAGTCGCGGGAATGTTCGTACTAGCAACGCAAATGCTATATACGTGCGATCATGCGCTTGGTGCTCCAGGAAGAACATTTATGCTCGCTCCTCGATTGCTTCCTCCTCGATCAGTCATCCAAAAGGGCTTCTTTGCTTTTGATCGACCGATCCATCGTCCATGGCAGAGATTGAGGATGGTTACGAGCAGCAGCAGCGTCGCATGAGAGTGCCAATGCTGACCACCTCCTCCGATCAGGCCGTCGCCACTGCCAAGCAAATCCAGGCTTTGGATTCTCCTCGCTCCAGGCTCACGATCGTCGCAAAGGTTGTATACATTCTCGCAAACTTCGAAAACATCATCCATGGTGATTGATCTTTTTGATCCAGGCACTGGCTGGCGAGGCACTTGGAACTTTTCTCCTCGTCTTCACCATCGCGGCTTTGACAGCAGTGAACGAGGGAACTCCCGGAGGAATTGGGCTGCTAAGCTTCGCAATGGCGGCCTCGTTCTGCGTCACGGTGATCATCCTCACCATCGGCCACACCTCGGGTGCTCACATCAACCCTTCCATCACCGTGGGATTCGCAGCCGCCGGGAGATTCCCATGGTCTCAAGTAAGCTTATAGTCGATCGAACACAAGAGCTTTGAGAGCTTTACCACTTTTTCCAGGTGCCCTTCTACATGGTTTCTCAGATCACTGGCTCCGTGCTGGCAATCCTGGCGGCGAAATGGGTCTACAGCTTCCCGGAGAGAGACTTTGCCGTGACCCAGCCTCGATCTGGGCCATGGCAATCGCTTGTTCTTGAGACCGCCATGTCCTTCGTTGTCATGTTCCTGGCGTGTATCCTCTCGAATAACACATCACAAGTGGTAACTTTCACTCGCAATTTGTTCCACACTAGTATACTATTGATGCTTTTCATCAGTCGGGCAACGCAGCTGCAATGGCTGTCCCAGCCGCGATCGGGCTGAGCGTTATGGTCGCTGGGTAAGGATGGAAAGATTAAAATGCTTTGATTGATTGATCGTTGTTTTATTAGGCCAATTTCTGGAGGATCACTCAACCCAGCTCGCTCTCTGGGACCGGCAATCGTTTCCAGAAACTTCAAAGCGATTTGGATCTACATTGCAGGGCCTTTCCTGGGATGTGTAACTGCAGGCATAGCTCACAGTCCAGTTTTGGAAGGCAAAGAAGATTCTCAAAATTCCATGTAATGCCCTTAGTGGGCATTTTACGTAAGGGCCGCTAAAAGCTAAGACTCGTTTCACACAAGCCTGTCTTTCAGTCGTTGGAGATGCTCCATCTCCTCCACAATGCAGTGCTGTCCCACTTTTCCAACATAATCCCATGCAAGCGCCGCTGTTGCCGGGGATTACCATGAACCACCTTCGTCACCTTTGAAGGTGGCAGCAAATAGTTCCTCCCTCGAGATCCTCGAATCCACCACCTTTCTCATTGCATCCCTCACATTCCCTCCATATCTCATGGCTTCTTCCACAAGGCCCTCTTCCTTGTCATATCTCATGGCTTCTTCCACAAGACCCTCTTCCTTGTCTAGCATCCTCTTCACCATGTTGCTCCTCTTCCTCACTCCACCATATCTTCGAGCACCTCCTCCTCTCCCAGCCAAAACAACGTCTCGAAAAACTCCTTTTTCTCGTTGTATATCTACTCCCAAGAACTCATCTCCGCCCTGTCGGCCTTGTCGAGCAGCAGCGGCGCCACCACCTCGCGATCTTGCAACTTCTCCATCTTGCCAAAATCTGCGAAGAGAAGCTCGGACGCAAGCACCACCTTTGTGTCGTGCTGGCCCAGGGACCCCAGCTCCATCACAAAGTCCACCACGTCTTTCACATACTGAGTCATAACTGTCGTTTGAGGGAGGTGGAACGAATGCGCGTATGGATGCCGGGAAGGGGCGGTCGCCGCAGCCAAAGATGTTATGTGGTGAGATCTCCTCGAAGCTATCAGTGACGAAGTGGAAGGAAGGGGACTATCGAGGGAATGGGATCTCGATGCTGCTCGAGGTTTGCCTCGACGCAAAGCTTGGCGACGAGGTCTCCCACATCCTGGGAAGAGTTCCCTGGGAGAAGCTTAGTGGCCGGGCTTTTGCCAAGCTGAGGCATCACTTTCCGGAGCGCAGCTAGGAGGTAGACAAGTTTTGGAAGAGGAACGAATGCTTTGCATTTCTTAAACGGTCATCACTGTAGAACGATGAGAATGTCTCGGACGACAATGAGGAGGAGGATCTCTCGTATGGCAGTGACAAAGAGAAGTATGTGGAAGACGGGGTGGAGTTTGTGATGGAGCTGGAGTCCCTGGGCGAGCACGACATAACGGTGGCGCTTGCATCCGAGCTTCTGTGCCAAGGTTAAGAGCTTGGAAAATCTAGAGGTGGTGGCGCTGCTGCTGCTCGACAAGACCGAGCTCATACCCAGGGATCCATGCTCCGAAGTGATCAAGACGATGCGAGGAGCCGCGAGCTTGGTTGGCTAGAAGGAGAAGGATAGATTGAGGAAGGCTTTTCGAGATCTCTGCAAGGCAGAGCTCCCGGACATGTCTGACAGTTCGGACATGAGTTCTCGGGGAGGAGATATACAACGAGATGTATATATGCAACGCAACCTCGCGTGACTTGGTAGGACCAGGAGTTTGTTTTGGCTAGGAGAGGAGTGCTCGGAGCTATGGTAGAGTGTGTGAGCAAGAAGAGTAACTTGGTGAAGAAGATGCTGGACAAGGACGAGGGTCTTGTGGAAGAAGCCATGAGATATGGAGGGAATGCGAGGGATGCGATGAGAAAGCCGGTGGACTTGAGGATGTGGGTCTGTGGATGCCCACCAGGTTTATGGGAATCCTCGGCACCAGCGCCGCGTCCATGATATTATGGTGGAGAAGTGGAAGAGTACTGCATTCGAGGAGGAGATGGAGCGTCTCCAAGGACTGAAAGACAGGCTTCTGGCAAGAGTGTTTGTTAATTTGTTGCTAATCATGTCTTTAAATCTTTACGTCATATCTTTCAGAGCGATTTGGACTTAGGCTAGGAAGATTCTCAATTCTCTATACTTTCATTGTCCACTCTATAATCTATAAGCGAAGAGTCATTTCACACAAATCTGACTTTCAGTTCTTGAAGATGCTCCATCTCCTCCACGAATGCAGTACTCTTCCACTTGTCCACCATAATCTCATGTACGCGCCGCTGGTGCCGAGGATTCCCATAAACCTGCCGGGCATCCACAAACCCACAAATCTTCATCACCTTCAACGGTGGTGGCGGTAAATAGTTCCCAAAGCTCGGCTCCCTCGAGAGATACTCCATCCTCGAATCCACCACCTTTCTCATCGCATCCCTCACATTCCCTCCATATCTCATGGCTTCTTCCACAAGACCCTCATCCTTGTCCAGCATCCACTTCACCAGGTTGCTCCTCTTGCTCACACACTCCACCATAGCTCCGAGCACCTCCTCCTCTCCCAGCCAAAACAACGTCTCGAAAAACTCCTTCTGGTCCTTCCAAGCCAACGCGAGCTTGGGATCTCGATGTCTATCCCCTACCCAAGAAATCATCTCTGCCCTGTCAGCCACCTCCGGGAGCTCTGCCTTGCACAGATCTCCAAAAACCGTCCTCAATCCATCTTTCTCCTTCAAGCCAACCAAGCTTGCAGCTCTTCGCATCGTCTTGATCACTTTGGAGCCATTCATGTATCGATCCCTGGGTATGAGCTCGGCCTTGTCGAGCAGCAGCAGCGCCACCACCTCGTGATCTTTTAAGTTCTCCACCTTGGCAAAATCCGCGAAGAGAAGCTCGGATGCAAGCACCACCGCTGTGTCATGATCGCCCAGGGACTCCAGCTCCATCACAAACTTCACAACGTCTTCCATATACTTTTCTTTGCTCCAGGAACCAGAGAGATCCTCGAAGCATTCCTTCCTCCACGTCCAAAACTCGTCCACCTCCTCTCTGCGCTCCGGGAAGTGATCCCTCAGCTTGGCAAGAGCCCGGCTGCTAAGCTTCTCCCAGGGAACTCGTCCCAGAATGTGGGAGACCTCGTCGCCAAGCCTTGCGTCAATGCAAAACTCGAGCAGCATCGCGATCCCATTCTCTAAATGCTTCTCCTCATTGTACTTCACAGTCACGGGTAGCTCAGAGGAGATCGCGCCGCAAAACATCTTGGCTGCAGCGATCGCCCCGTCCCGGCATCCACAAGCGTCCAGTCGCAAGGCCAGACCTCCGCAAGCCATCACTGCGCCATACCACTCCGGAGGATCGATGGCTTTCACATCTTCTCCGCTCCACCACTGACGCTTCACTGGCTCTTCGTGCTCCTTTACGGCGTTCATCACCGTTTCCACAGTCCCTTTGCATGCCTCCCAGCCGTAAGCCTTCACCGCCGTCGCAAACTCGTCGAAGCTCGTCATGTTCGTTCCCCACGTCCTCAATATCAAGAACGCGGCATCGCGAGCACCGCTCTTCACACACGCATCGAGCAGCCGGGCAACAAACTTCCAGCATCCGAGTCTCCAACCCGGAGAAGCCTCAAACTTCTCCGGCAAGCTGTGGAAAGCATCCACAGCTTGCTCCAAGTTTCTCCTCTTGCTTTCCTCCGATCCGCAAGCTTCTTCCTCGATCCAGTCCAGCAGCCAGTCTATGTGTATCGGCGAGCAGCAAATCGTTTGCATCCTCGTCTCTCTCGGCCACACCACCAGAACCGCGACGTGGTAGAAGTACTGATTCGTACCACCTTCGTTTCCAGCCATCATCCCCGTCCCGCGGAACTCGTCCTCGAGAAAGTCGAAGAGATCTCTCTCGTTAAACTCGTCCTTGTCCTGGTTCATATCCCGGGGCAGCTTCTTCAGCGCGCAGCGAAGAACTTGGTGCCGGACATCAATCTCCCACCTTTGAAACTTGGCTGGCCTATTGTCGATACCGTACTCGATCGACACGTCCTCCGTCACGGTCTTGTGCTTGGTGAGCATGCAAAGATGGACATCCAGAAACTCGCAGGCTCTCACCATGGCCGCTACAACGCGGTCCTGGCCCTTGAGCCCGGCAAACGAGAGGCTCGTCTTGGAGTACTTGTGAGCCAGCGGGATCGCCAAGAGCTTCCTCTTATACTCGCTGCGGTTGCGGCTGTATACCGGGGCATAGTCATCGTCATCGTAGCTATCATCTTCTTCCACTTGAGTCCTCCTTGTCGCACGCTATTGCCACGACGAAGACTTAGAAATGGAATCAAAGTAGAGATCGATGCTTACCGTGGCGAGTTGCATCCGGGGAGCGTTTGATCTCGCTACCGTGGCGAGTTGCCTTGACCTCCGCGAGTTTGCTCTCTGCGCCACACCGCCGCCACCTTTCTCGACCCATTCCCGAAGAAGCTCTTTCACTCGAGGCATCGAGGACACAAAAGAGGGGACGTTCTCGGCGGCTATGAACTCCACGTTGTTCCTCACCAGGCTAAAAACCAGGGATAGCCTCGATCCACCGGTCACTTCCTCAAGCTGGTGCTCGCAGTCGCAAAAGAAGATCGTCGAGAAGTACTTGCTGGAGCTGCCTTGCGAGAAATCAAAGCAGTAGCGCTCCAGCCCCTGGCGAACCCCGAGAGCTCCTCCGGTGTGCCCGGACGCTGTGGGGAGCTGGACGATCATCGTCGCAAACATCCTTCTCCGTGTCCCTGTGGAACTTGAAGTGTCCTCCAGCCTCGTAGAGCAGCAGCTTGTAGAGCTTCACGTCGAGCTCCAGCGCTCTGGGATCCAGGCCCATGGCGGCGAGCCCAGCAGCCGCCAAGCCATGAACCACGGACGAGAAGAAGCTCGGATTCTCGGGGCAGGAGATCTTATCTGGATTGACCTGCCATGCCTTCCTCACGTCCGTGTCGACGAGAGTCCTCTCGCCGAGACCGTATGGCGCTTGCTGGCAAACTGACTTGAGCCTGGCGAGACCCTCTTGCGAGAGTGGGAGATGGATGCTAC